TCTATTCTGTTGGATGAAATTGGGAGAACCAGTCAAGTCAATAATCCTGAGGATAAACAGGAGCAACTCTACTCTTCTTGCCAATTAAATTTTTTACCTCAGCTCCACAAGGCCGGAGATAGCTTCTGCTGGGAGACTGATCATCGTCTGCAACTATAACTGTCGATTGTTCCCTTGCAAGTCGGCCCAAATCAACACTCATGTCATCAGAAGATCCACACAAACCTATATCTTTAGTTACTTCTGTGTCAAATGAGGTAGTGACATGTAATAACCTCAAAAATAATACTTGGTTTTATTATTTTTGTGGAAAATCTTATTAAGTCGTGTGACTATATTGGGTGTTGTATGAATTTGGTTTGATGTGAAAATATTGGAATTAAGTGAGTTTAATCTCAAATTGGGACAAAAATGCCCTTATGATTAAGTTTATGATTTTTCAAAGGATGTTCAGGAAATTGAAGTGAGAAAATTATGATTTTTGGATTGAACATAGAGCTTGATCTCATGAACGCGTAGGAGCAGACGGTTCGTGAATCGAAGTTGAAACGAAGAAGTTATGCTCGTTTGAAGTTTCAGGGACTTAATTGCAAAATTAAACAGTGACAGATTTTTGGTTTATAAATTGTGGAGGGCTACTATGCAGGTCAGAATACCTTGAATCCCTTCTGAGTTTGTCAGGTGGGCATTCTCGTGGCAAATAATGAGGGATAAATTACCCTAGGGAGCAAGACCCAAGAACAGTTAGAGCTCTAGTCTGGCGCCATCTAGTACTCATGACTGGAGTGTAATCATGAGTGAACACTACTTTGGAGGTTTGTAGTGTTATAGATTAGAGGTTCATAGTATTCTCTCTTCTATCTGTCAAATATTTGACGTGTGAAAACTACTTTGAAAATAAAAGAGTTTTGGTGTGGTCACAGCTGGTGATCGAAACAGTTCTTTAAATAAAATAAAAGAATTGTGGTTGTGATGATATTGATGATTATGATTACCTTAGTTATACAAGGATTGTGGTATGCTAATGAAAGTGCATGTGTTTGTATATTATGTGTAAATTGACATATTATATTCTGGACGTGGTTTACTCATATAAGCTTTAGAAAGTTTACCAGGTTGTTCTGTGGTGAACCCGGTGCACTATTCGATGGTGTAGGGGAAAAAATTGCAAGTGGTAGAGACCGTGAGCAGGAGAATTAAGGTGAGGAGCGGGAGGCTCGTTGGTGGTTCCACAGAGTGCAAAGTGTGGTGTGAGAGTCTTGGTGAGTGTTAGACTTCTACTGTGTGAAATGAGCTCTAAGGAGCAGATTATGTAATATAATGATTGTTCATTTTATTATGTAAGTTTGTAATGTAATATTTGACTCAAAAGAGTTGAGTTATTATTGACATTGTGGTTCGGAACAGTGGTGTCGTATCAAGAAAGAAAAATTTAAATTTTTAGGTACTTTTGATGAAGGTTCCGAACTTCACATCCCGGATTGCTGGTTGTTCTGTTTAAACTCATTGTTTAGTCATTGTTGAAAATTCGGAGTGTGAAAGTTTGGTATCAGAGCTCAATTCTGCTTTGATGAAGTGTTAGAGCTTATGGCCAGCTCTGAAAATTTGGTATCAAAGCATATGGTTCTACTTTGATGAAGTGTTAAAGCTTCTGGTCAACTCTGACAATTTGGTATCAAAGCATATGGTTTTCTCTGACAAAGTGCTAGAGCTTATGGTCAGCTCTGACAGTTTGTTTATTGCGCAATTGGTTTGCCATGTAGGAGCTTTGGGTTTAGGTGCTAGAGGAATGGGTCCTTTGTGGTTGTTGTGGTTGTATGTTATTTTCAGGCTTGTATATTTTGAGATAATACTCAAGCATGGAATGAACAGTTCGCTTGTCTTTTGCCAGAAAGGGAATGGACCAAGGCAGAGGTCAAGTCAAAGCTAGTGGTAGAGGTGAAGAGCAAGGAGCTGTAGAGCCTACCTTTGACATTCATGAGGAGTCAGAGGAGGAGATTGGGGAAGAAACCCCTGCTAGTGCGCAAAATTTGCACAATGTGCAAATGAATGATCGTACAGCTAATCTATTCGTAGAGTTCTTGTAGGCACGGGGGCATGGAGTTCCTCAACCACCACCAGTGCCACGCACAGATCCCTTTAGAATGTCCCTATTGATTCGTGACCTCAAGAAACTAAGAGTTAAACCTTTTGAGGGTAAAGTCGATCACATGAAGGCTGATAGGTGGATACGGAATCTTGAGAACTACTTCAAGATTTTGGGTATGACCAGTGTTGAAAAGAGGAGTGTAGCTTCCTTTTACTTACAGGATGAGGCACGAGTGTGGTGAGAGACGGTGGAAAAATCACAGAATGTGGACCATATGGACTGGGAGGGGTTTTTGGCACTCTTTTACAAGAAATACTTTCCTGTTATTGTGAAGGAGGAATTACAAGTGGAGTTCCTAAACTTAACGCAAGGGTCCCTAACTGTGAGGGAGTATGAGGCACGGTTTGCTGAGTTGTCTCGTTTTGCTGACCCTCTGAGTGAGTTGCAACAAACCCAGAAGTTTCAAAGGGGTTTAAATGTGTATGTCAAAAAGATGGTGACTGGTTTTTGCCATACGAAATTTGTAGATGTGGTGGAGTGCGCAGTGTCTATTGAAGCAAATAATAATGAGTTTAAGAAGAGTATGGATGTCAAGAGAGACGTCAAGGGGAAAGAAAAGTCGCCAACACAAAGTAGCACTACTGAGAATCAGGGAGTTGTTGGTAAGAAGCAGAGGACTGGGTACCTGACTGCGACCAAACTGATTTCTCTCACAGTAAATCTGACGGGCTCGGGCTCGTGCCGTGCTTGAAGCGGGCTCGGGCCAAGTCCATTTAATTTCGAGCCACGGGCCGGCCCGATCCATTGGACCTTTTTTTAAATCCCAGCCCGGTCCAAGCTTTCGTACCGTGCCGAGCACGGCCCACTAATATTCGTGCTCGTGCCGTGCCGTGCCTCATTTAAACGGGCCGGGCTCGTGCCGTGCTGGGCCGGCCCGTCCCGTTTGACACCTCTACTCTAGGGTGAACAAAGAGAAGTGCGGGGTTTAAATAGAAAATCTCTTTTTTTATCTGATTTTGTTGTCATAATTTTTTTAAAACAATCAATAATAAATAAACCAAAAGTACCATGAAGATAAAAATTAAATTTAAATAGCAAACAAAGAGGAATAAAACCCAATTTATGCTTATAGGAAGGAACTCCACTCTCCACCTTGGAGAGATCCTGGAGAAATAGATAGGGTTTGTTCAATGTAATAGATTGGAGGGAACAAGAACTGAGAAATAAATGGTTTGTTCCTTGTTAAAAGAAGACTGGGAAGATAAATATTGATGTGGTTTGTAAAAAAAAATAATAATAATTGGTTTGACAAAAGGGTTTGAGTAATTTCTTAAGAAGATACATTTTTTATTTGACGGAAGAAGAGAGATTTCAGAAGAGAAAAAAAAATGCGCTTTTTAGTGAGAGATTGAAGCACAAAGAGAAGAAGAAATACTGAGAGATGTTCAAGAAAAGAAGAAGAAAAACAACGAAGATTTAGAAAGCAAAAAAAAAAGGAGAAGACATAGAACAACAGAAAATGAAGAGGTACCGTCCGACCAAAAAAAAGGTAACAACAAAGAGATGCTTTAGATTTTTTTTAAGGGCCCCTCTGTTTTGAAGGCATGCATGTTATATTACATTTATAAAAAAAATTTATAAAAAAAAAGAAAAGAAAAAGCATGCCTAAAATTAGTAAAAAACAGAGGAGCAGCCACGCGAGGAGACACAGGGGACAACTTTATCTCTTCTGTTCATTTTTTTTTTTAAATTGTCTACTTTAATTTTGAATGTGGACTTCTGTTCACTAAGTTTGAGGCCTCAAGTTTTGGAACTCATCGATCTTTTAAAAATAAAAAGCTTTGGAGCTCTCAATAAAATATATAAATTATAGGTATGTATACGGTATATATATAAAATTTGGGGCCCCTTTGAACTGAGGCACCGGCCGTCGCACTCCGCGCCCATATTCAAGGCCGGCACTATACACAACCTCACATGTATGATGAATTTTCAAGCCTAATATGTAAACAACACATATTGGGTGACATAGAGCACATGTAGTCGTTGGGCTTTTACGCATGAATTAACCCGCAATGATATTATGAAGGAAGTTGAAGTTTCATCCCCAAACTAGCTTAGCATGCAGAATTTTCTCGGTACTTAATTAAATACATATGCGTTGTTAAGACGCTAACTTTGGTTATCATTAGTTTAATTCAATTATTTCATTTGGTACTTTCTTTTCTCATACTAATCTATGAATTGTTTTTGTTAAACTAAGATTATATGAACATAGATTATATGATGACTAAACCCACATGTTTTGAACGTTCATTAAAGTGGTCACTTTTCCCAGCCGCAATCAGGAAACTTCCCGGCTAACTTTGCCACTTGGGAAACACGATTGCTCATGCATCTTTATCTCTGCGGCCCGAACTTTTTTTACTCTTCTCCAGCAAGTTTTTTCAACTTAAATTAAGGTCACTTCGGAATTAATGTTTTGTGGAAGACATTATTCTAAACCACTACACTAGTTAATTATTTATAAATAAATTTAATATTAAACCTACGTAAATCATGCGGCTTTTAGAGGATTCTTTTAAGTGAACCACTGGTACAATGTGATCTCATAATCAAAATCATCTATATTTTATCTCCTAACAAGTTTTCAAGTCAACTAAGTTTAACGTACATATCTTCTACCCTGCACATACGAATTTAAATTCAGGATTGACTTCAAATAACGTTAGTTTAAAAAAACGTTAAGTTCCATGAGCCATAGCACATGGTTTGACTAATTACTGATTTGACATAACTATTTTTTATGCAAAATAATTCATCTACTTGAATCTTGATGACTGCAGAAAAAAAGAGTGATGTGCAAAATCTATTTTTTATGCGATAATAGCTAAGATATGTTTCTTTAAAATATTTATAGTATTAACACAAAAACATGACCCAAAATAAACATGTTTTCAGCTTAATCTACAAGTAATGATAGTTGGATGCTAAGACTCAAATCTCCAAATGACAACTTGATTGAACATGACCAGAGTACTTGTGAGGGGTCTCTAGTTTTGTCCATGTGTAATTGTCCAAATGTAGCATGTAAGCCATGTGGGGCTCCCCAAACCCTGCACATCCAATCACTAATACTTTGCCCTGCCACGCTGTCACGCAAGCCGGATTACGCACCTGAGCTGGCAGCTTCGCCACGAATTTCCATGTTCCGCGTCTATGTTTCACCACGTCACCGCCACGACACATGTACATTGTCTCGTCGTCACCATCCACGCACGTCCTTGGACACGTGGCAACTAGCAAGAAGTCGTCTTGTACTTGGTCCCACTGCCACGTGGAGATATTGAATGTTTCGGTGCTTCTTTCGAAACGGCCTTGCTTTTCGGTACAATAGCCACCGATGACATGGAGCTTGCCATGCTGGAAAATTGCCTTACATTCGTCGCGTTCTCTTGCCATGTCCGGCAATGAAATCCACTCATCTTTCGCCACGTCGTATGCTATTGCCGATCTCAACGCATTCTTCTCATCATCATGTCCACCGGCAACGAACACCATCCGATCAGAATCCGAGGAGCATCCAAAGAAAATTCGAGCACCACCTGGCATATCAACCCCACGCCTCCACGTGGCAGACACAAAGTTGTAGACAAACACGGAATTCGAGATGGTCCATGTCATGGGATCCCAACCGCCGATCACCACCAAATCCGACCCGACCGCTGCGAGTTGGCAAAACATGGGTAGTCCAGTAGCAAAACCGGCAAGCGGCGGCAACTCGGACCAATTACCCAAATCCGGTTCACAAAGAGTGAGCCGGTAAACCGGGCTATCCGGGCACTTGAAGACACCAACACCATGATTTGAGACAACATGTGATTGAACCATCACCATGAGTTTTTGGCTATGGCCACCAGCCTTCCTAAGCCGATGAAACTCCGGCAGCTCAACCTCAGCCTTCCAACCCTTGCAAACCGATGCCATAGCTGGGAACTGATCATATTGGATACGAATTAGACAGTCATAGGCTATATCGTCAGGCAGACCAGAAATCAGGACCATGGTACACAAATGGGTATCAAACAAAAACAGAGTTTTGGGTTTTTGAATTCTGAGAGAGATTTTATGAATTCTGAGAGATGGGTTTTGGAATTCTGAGAGATGGGTTTTTTAATTTGAGCTCCTGGGACTGCTCAGAGGGGGCTTTTATAATTTTGAAGGCAGTGTTCGATTCCTATTCAAGAAATAGAAGAAGGGTCTCCTACCTGCTAGTGTTTCATGTTTCCCTCCATTGGCACTATTTTATTGTTATAACAAAAAATAATAAATAAAAAAGCATTTGCCGTGAATGGTTTTTTCAGGTAATGAAGGTCTAGAACAGGGGCGGTCCTACCCTGCCCTGC